AGGTAGGTAGGTAGATAGATATAGATAGATATGGATAGATGGATGGAAGGATGGATAGATAGATAGGTAGGTAGGTAGGTAGCTATGTAGCTATGGATAGATGTGGATAGATAGGTAGGTAGGTAGATAGATATAGATAGATATGGATAGATGGATGGAAGGATGGATAGATAGATAGGTAGGTAGGTAGGTAGCTATGTAGCTATGGATAGATGTGGATAGATAGGTAGGTAGGTAGATAGATATAGATAGATATGGATAGATGGATGGAAGGATGGATAGATAGATAGGTAGGTAGGTAGGTAGCTATGTAGCTATGGATAGATGTGGATAGATAGGTAGGTAGGTAGATAGATATGGATGGATGGATGGATGGATGGATGGACGGACGGACGGACGGACGGACAGACAGACAGACAGACACAGACAGACAGACTAGCGGGGGATGGATGGGCAGATAGATAGATAGATAGATAGATAGATAGATAGATAGATAGATAGATAGATAGATAGATAGATAGGAGAGCGAGAGCGAGAGAGGGAGCATTAAAAGGAGCAAAGGGAGGAAGGAAAATACGAAGTAGGTGGAGGAGGGAGCATCTCCTCTCAGACCACTAACCACAAACTAACCTTGATGGTCTTGAAAGCCCTCTCTAACACAGAGTTCCCAAAACCTTTTCTTTCCTTAACTCCAAACTGCTTATCAGAAAGCTTAAGCCAACTCAGTTCAAACCTTCCTGTTCTTCTGACAGCTCATTGATTTGTGCGGTTCCCGAAAGGGGTGGGGTGGGGGGGAAACCAAATCGATCCAATTTGGGATAATTTACCCAGTTTTGGAGGTGTTTTTTGAGCCAATGCCTGGAAAATGGGGACACCTTCCCCCCCTCCCTCTTGAGATCAACTGCATCAAACTTTGCTCCCAAGGGGACTCCAAGGGACTAGAAGCTTGACGCAGATAAAGTAAAATGTCAAATTTTTTTTTTGGCTTCCACAGCTGGAGGACCTGCTCCCAAGGAGAGGGAAGTGGACTTCCAAGAAGGCTACGCCAGATGCCTTCAAGAGGTCTCCCAGTTCCTGCTCCTACACAGCGTTCACCCCCAGACTCAAAAAAAGCTGATGCACCATTTTCAACACGCCGCCCCCCTGCCCACGCCGTCCCCCTGCTCTCCGCCTCGTTGGAAGCAATCCAGTCCCAAGAAGAACTTCCATTCTCTTTGGAGACCATGGATGGAGTCCACTAGATGATGATGAAAATCTGAAGGACTGGTCTCTCCTTTGACCTAGGACCCTGCCTCCTCTGCTTCCATCCTTTTGGGGGGGGAAAGTTTTTTGGGGAAAGTTTGAATATCCCCTTTTGGGGGTAGGGGGATAAATATTATTTATTCTCAAGAGTGGGAAGCAGAGAATGAGGTTGGGAAGTGGAGCAGAGTGGGGAAAGCCCCCTGCGCCCCATGGCTGGGCGGAGTCCTTTGCCACGTGGCGCTAGGATATGGGGGCTCCCCTCCCACTTTGGCTCAACCAGGTTGAAGGCGGCGGGAAAAGCAAAAAGAGGGGGGGTGAGTTTTCACCCTCCGTGATGTTCACTCCATATCTTGCTTTATATTAAAGAGACGGGGGTGCTTAAGGTTGGATGTTATACATTTGGAAAGTTAAGGAGGGTTTGTGTGTGGGGGGGGGGTTGTGGGGTTTTTTTTGGACATTTCAGACCAACATTGTGGTGTCTGGTTTGTGGTGGGGGGTGTTGGTCGTGCAGTTGGCATACTGTGTATGCGGTTGGTTTGAGAAAATAAATGCAGATGTGAAAAGGTATTGCTGTGTCCCTCTGTTTTCTGGGCTTCGATTTTGGGCTGCTGTGTATGGCTGGGGGGAAGAAGTTATAAATGAATACATCCACATCTATCTATCTATCTATCTATCTATCTATCTATCTATCTATCTATCTATCTATCTATCTATCTATCTATCNTTGGCTCAGGAGTGTGGGAAACTTTGGAAAGCGAAGAGATTCAGGGTATAAATAGAGGGATGGGACGCTGGGGCTGTTGTATACAAGGAGGAGTGATTGATTCCTACCCCAGAATGACGCCTTCAAACCTCATGTTCGCGGACCAAGCCAGGAGGCTGACGGCTAAGGAGAAAAACAAGGTGAGTAGAACTCCCAAAACTTTATTTTATTTTTTAAAAAAGAGGATTATTTTTATTTTTGGCTTCGGCTTTTCCTTACCCGTCTCCTTTTTATCTCTTTCTCTCTCTCTCTCCTTCTCTCCCCCCACCCCCTTGCAGCTGAGAAAACCGCTGATCGAAAAAATGCGGAGAGACCGAATGAATAGCAGCATTGAGCAGCTGAAACAGCTGTTGGAAAAAGAATTGCAAAGCCAGCGGGCTGGTTCGAAGCTGGAGAAGGCCAACATCCTCGAAATGGCCGTCAGCTACCTGAAGCATCAGAACCGGACGCAGGGTGCAGGTGAGTCGATCGATGGATCAATCAGAATAAAGCCGGAAGGGAGCTTGGAGGTCTTCTAGTCTGACCCCCTCGTCCCGAGCGGGAGACCCCCAAACCGTTTCAATCGATCAGAATAGAGCTGGAAAGGACCTTGGCGGCCTTCTAACCTTCCTTGAGATAATTGGCTGGGCAAAAGGGCTGGAGGGCTTTATTTATTTTTTACTTCTTGGTTTATTAAATGGATATGTGCCCATCTCAGCAGCAGGGGGATGTGGGCGGCTTACAACAAGGTATAAATAGCAGTATGAAAGGTTAAAAGTTTTAAAATGAGAGATTTTAAAATGAGAGAGGGAGATGATAGACAGACATGATAGATGAATGAATAGATGGATGGATGGATGGATGGATGAATGGATGGGTACATAGATAGATATGGATAGGTAGGTAAGTAGGTAGGTAGGTAGGTAGATATGGTAGGTAGATATGGATAGATATGGATAGATGGATGGAAGGATGGATGGATAGATAGTAGGTAGATAAATAGAGGTAGGTAGGTAGGTAGATATGGATAGATATGGATAGATGGATGGAAGGATGGATGGATAGATAGTAGGTAGATAAATAGAGGTAGGTAGGTAGGTAGATATGGATAGATATGGATAGATGGATGGAAGGATGGATGGATAGATAGTAGGTAGATAAATAGAGGTAGGGAGGTAGATAGATATAGATAGATATGGATAGATGGATGGAAGGATGGATGGATAGATAGTAGGTAGATAAATAGAGGTAGGGAGGTAGATAGATATAGATAGATATGGATAGATGGATGGAAGGATGGATGGATAGATAGTAGGT